AGGAGCACACAGCACAAGACCAATGAAGAGTAACGCTTTATTAGAATTGAATAAAATCTCTAACTCTATCATAAAAAGAAGCAGTGTACAATCTCTATCTTTAGCGTATAAGGAAAGAAGTCTAAAACCGTACATCGTCCAGACAATTCAACGGACATATTTTCTTGCTGAAAGTTGTTTCTTGACTAAGTGGAGAGGGGCAGGTTGAACGGAGGGCACTGGAAACTCTTACTACATTATTTACACTCCAAAGTTAGATCAAAGGGACTTCTTTTAGCCGACTTTCACTACAAAGTGCACTGCCACTGAGGGGGAGTGTTAGTTTAAAAGCAGATATGAAAAATCCCCAGACGCTGTTTATGACGCGGGGCCCATTTAAAGTTGCTACGCTACAGTTTACACAAAACACGTGTATTTTTCTTTGCGGTAACGGCCGTATACCTGGGTTATCACATGTGTCACCGCTGGAATGCAGATCTGAAGCTTCTCAGTGGCTTTGACAGAGAGAAACCAGCGCGACACATATCAAAAACAAATATTATAAGTCCCCGCTAGAGAGTCATCTGGGTTTGTAAGTTAGATTGTTCAGTTTTTAGTGAGTAACAGAACCAAAATGTCATGGTCACACTGCAAAAAAAGATAAAATATGCGGAAATAAATGCTTGAATTGGCGACAGTGGCTCAGTTGGTGGAGCATTGGCCTTTGAGCCCGAAGGTTGTGGGTTTGAGTCCACCACGAGACCTTCTCCACCGACTCCCACTGATCTCTGCTGTCGTTGTGTTCTTGGGCAAGACACTTAACCCACTTTGCCTATAAGGAGCGCGGAAGTGATGTTCCCCTTTATGTGTGTATGTGTATGCATCAAAGGACCTTCTTCGTCTTCAAACTGGTTTTTATCTTAAAGGAGCAGTATGTAAAAAATGTGGCCAAAAGTGGTACTGCAGCCTCTCCCACTCTTACTGACTCAGATATGCAGACGAATCCAGCTGGGACCATAACAGCTGAATAGACAAGAGTTTTGTCAACAACAAATCTATAACCAACACCTTTTTCACAAAGATAGAAATCCTGGTTTTATTCCTTGTTCATTTGAGAATCATAACGAGACCTTTTTAGTTCTGCGGCCACATGTTACTTTACCAGTAGGATTAGCTCAACGCGGTGAATTCTGGCGCCCGGATAACGGACTTTCTGATTGGTGAAACCATGGAGGGCGGGACATCATAATGAAAACAATAACAAGATTTAAGGGCTGGAAAACTAATTTGGAAATCCAAATATTCCTGCACTACTGTTATCAGTTACAGAAGTATTTGTCTCCCTACTTCCAAGGGAGACATTTATTGTGTCTTTTTAAAACAAGATAATTTTGCTTTGTCCCTCTGGAAAATCAAGATTGTCCAAATGTGCTCAAATTAAGATACATTTTGTCGAATTTGAGCAATTTTTGGCTTGATTTTCATCACATCATTCTAATGAAACATGACAAAGAATAAATGATTCTGTTCTGGAGGTGAAATCGGATCATCGTCTGGATCCAGGAATTCGTTCAAGAAAAATAACTGCTCCACTTTTGGGGGTCTGAACTCTGGGAGAGATTTTTTAGATTTGGCTCGAGTTCAAATGTTGACGAAATGGTATTTACTGAAATGTAGTAGATGCTTTCAACAAATCAAACATATTAGGTGTTGAGTAAAATATGGAAGTGTGTGTAGCAGCCCAGAGACAGTGGACGAGGACAGGTCTAAGGATTTCTAAGGATACTGCAGCAGGCATGCCCAAACTCAGGCCCGGGGGCCATTTTTGGCCATCGGTGTCATTGTATGTGGCCCTCTGCCTTGCTAACCCAAAGTAGTCTTTGAGATCATAAACACAAGTTAACTGTGTCATCCATCCAACTTCAGCTCAGTCAATATAGACATGTTGTACCTTTTTCTAAAACCCTGGAGCGTCTGGATGTTTTTGGATTGTGTTACAAACTCCCGTTAATGTGTCTTTCAGCCAACTTCAGCTTTCTAATCGATCATTTTAAAGCTCAGAACAGCCCGATGCCAGTCAAGACAGTTTTTCAGTCTGTAATGTCGGGCCCTGGACTAGTCTGGTGGTAAAAGTGGCCCTCTTAATAAAATGTTTGGACACCCCTGTACTTGAATCGACTTTGAATCCAATGACGTGTTTCAGGCTGGTGTTTTATGTAAACGTAGCATCCATTTCTGGTTTTCTCTCAGAATGAAAATGTTCTACTTTGACACTACTGACACTTCCAATCTTATGAAAAAGATACCAATGTTCTAAATGTCGGAGCCTCGTTCTTCTAATTCAATGCGACATCAGCAGCTTGGAACTGTTGTTAATCAGTCGAGGATTAAAACAATATATATTCTACTTGACAAACTTGTTTGTCTTCTTCTGAACACTGAACATTGAAGTACAAATTGTACTGCACTTAAATGAGACAAAAAGGTCCTAGAACATTTTTTATTGTGCCTTTAAAATATGACTATTAATGGTAATGAATAGTTACTCTTATTTGTTACTTTTTAGAATTATCTTTTTTGTTTGTTTTTTATTTCTCCTACGGGTATCAATGAAGTATCTATCTAGCTATCTATGAGTGTCAATTATGAAAAGTGTATGTAAGTTCTGACGATAAATTCAATGGAAAAATGTCACATTTTGTAAAAAAAAAAAAAAAACACACAACCAAAATGACTTATCATTCCAATCTGGCTGTTTTTCCCAAACTATGAAAGTTGCAAAAGTAATACCACTTTTCAAAAATTGCAGTAAACAATTCAAGCATCATATAATCAACAAAGGTCTATATGGGTTTAGAACAAGTTAAACTACCACAATGGCAGTAATTTAAGCTATAAAAGAAATTCCAAATGCAATCGAGATGTGGATGAGGATAGGTGATGGGTGAAACAGACATTTTGGATGTTAAAGGACAATCAATCATGATACGGAAAGACTGAGGCTAAAAGCTCCAAGAAGTTGTCTTTCAGAGGACAGAAGACCGAAGGCAGCCTACCCTGATCTTGTAGTTGTGGGCACTGCTTCATGAAGTGGTTCTCCTCTGGGTTCTATCCTCTGGGTTCTGCCCCTCTCACCTGGACACATAGAAAGTGGTCAGTCAAAGCTCATGCCCCGGGCGCTCCTCTCTCTGCTGGGTCGAGTCATGAACGTGTGGAGGTCTCTGTTGCTGCGCCATCTGAATCCGTATTACAATAGGGAGTTATAATGCTAGTCATTCATTCATTAATTTTCATCTCAGTATTTTCAAAATAATAGCACTCGTTACTTAAAAAGTCATCTAATTGCAGTAACAGAGAATGTTTAACTGATTTACACCCAGCACTGCTCTTATAAATACTAACAAATGGTGGAAGATAATACATTGTCCTTGGGTTAATGTGCCCGATGTGTGGACCCTGGTCTCCCCTGTTCCATGTCAGGTCCTCTGTCCTCTTTTAGCACTGGGACAAGTAAAAAAAAGTATCAATACAATAATGAAACGCTCTTTATTTTGAATGCGCTGGAAACGGCTGCAAGTCTTAAGTTTCTTTGAAACAGTTGTTTTTATGTGCTATACAATTGTTATTTTTCTTGCTTTTTTACTTGAGATTTTCATGGTTTTGCCCGGGTCCAGCTCTGAGCAGAGAGGATTCATGGTCTGAACTAAGCGGATCAGGTGAAAATCCACTGCAGGAATGATAACTTTTTGAAAAATACTAATAAAGCATTCAGCATTTTACTTTGGACTAGAGCAGAGAAAATGGTCAGTGATGGATCCAATTCTGAAACCCTGATCACTTTCACGTTTTCAACATAGAGTTTTGGTTTGAAAAGGCTCCCACTATCCAGATGGTATGCCATCTTCTGCTGGTGTTTCGAAGAAAGCGTTAGCAGCACATTTTTCCAGTTGTGAGTGTCATGGACCACCTTTTTAACTCATTGAATGCCAGCCTATTTCAGAACAGGTACTCCCACAGTGCCAGCCATTTATGATGATTTTTACTGATTTTTCAAGACCCACAGAATATTGTGTACTATGACTATCTGAAATCCGACAGATTCTAAAAGAATGGACTGTCTACTTTCCTCAGCAAAAATAATTTTGTTTATAGCTTTTTTCGTTCCCCTGTAATCCTCCGTTGAGTAGAGGGAAGTTTTACTGAAATCACCAGAAATCACCAGAAAGTTGAGAAAAAAGAGGCACAACATGTGCACCTACATGTTTTCAAACCATTCAGAGAGCAATGCTGCCACCTGCTGGCTCGATAAAATATGATCTCAAGTCATCCCCATACATATTAGATACAATAGACATCTGGGAACGTGAAAATAGCGAAAAAGGCATTTGACGTTACTATTTGCTTTGACGTATTTGTGCGTCAATGGGACACAATGAGTTTAAAGAAGCTATGTTTAGCTTCGAATCTCATCGTCCACAATTCCACTAAAGGCCCATAACAGTGCAGCACCGGATAGACGCTGACTACTTACACTACCTCTGCTGCGGTGACCTGAAGGCCTGTTGCTTATAGTTATTTTTGTTAGCTTGGATGTGTTTTTGCTTCTACTGGACACCTGAATTTCTCCTACAGGGATCAATAAAGTATCTATCTATCTCCATCCATCCATTTTCTGCCCCTTAATCCATTTCTGGATCGGGGGGTGGCAATCAGAGCTGCACCCAGTACACATAGCACCAGCCCCTCACTGATCCTCCTGCAGGTGGTGAGTCCACAGGAGCCTTGATTTTTCAGCAGGGGCTTCAGTCAAAGTGGGGTTAACTGTCTTGCCCAAGGACACAACGACAGCAGTCATCAGTGGGAGTCGTGAAGCAGATTTTGTGGTGGGCTCAACCCCACAACCTTCAGGCTTTAAGGCCAATGCTCTACCAACTGAGCCACTGTTGCCCCATCTATCTATTTATTTGAAGCAAATATGACCAAGATCATGTTTAAGGAGCAGAATGAACACGTGTTGTTCTTTAATTTATTGAGATGTTGTGTTGACGCTTGTGTTGACGCTTGTGTTGACTCTTGTGTTGACGCTTGTGTTGACGCTTGTGTTGACGCTTGTGTTGACGCTGGTGTTGACTCTTGTGTTGACGCTTGTGTTGACGCTTGTGTTGACGCCTGTATGTGTTGACGCTTGTGTTGACGCCTGTGTTGACGCCTGTGTTGACGCCTGTGTTGACGCTTGTGTTGAGGCTTGTGTTGAGGCTTGTGTTGAAGCTTGTGTTGAGGCTTGTGTTGATGCTTGTGTTGATGCTTGTGTTGATGGTTGTGTTGATGGTTGCGTTGATGGTTGCGTTGATGGTTGCGTTGATGCTTGCGTTGATGCTTGCGTTGACGGTTGTGTTGATACTAGAGTTGATGCTTGTGTTGACGGTTGTGTTGATGGTTGTGTTGACGCTTGTGTTGATGCTTGTGTTGATGCTTGTGTTGACGCTTGTGTTGACGCTTGTGTTGACGCTTGTGTTGACGGTTGTGTTGACGCTTGTGTTGACGGTTATGTTGATGGTTATGTTGATGCTTGTGTTGACGGTTATGTTGATGGTTATAATAATAATAATAATAAATCTTTATTTATAAAGCACTTTTCAAAAACAATGTTTACAAAGTGCTGCACAGCATAATAAACAATACATCAGTCATAATACAAAGTTTGCAAGAAGACAAGACAAACAGAGGAAACACAAGACCACAAAACAGACAGGACAGACAGTAAAATACAACGTTATAAGTTTAAAGCTGACAATTAAAAGCTGTTTTATAAAAGTGGGTTTTAAGAAGAGATTTAAAAGAGGATACTGATGGTGCTAGCCTTATCTCCTCGGGCAGGTCGTTCCAAAGCCGAGGAGCCCGGACAGAAAAGGCTCGATCACCTTTCGTCCGGAGCCTCGACCTTGGAATGGTCAGCAAGGACCTGCCCGAGGATCTAAGGCTGCGGGGGGGCTCGTAGGGGGTTAAAAGTTCATAAATATAGCTTGGTGCCAGACCTAAACGAGCTTTAAAAGTAATCAGTAAAATCTTAAAATCAATTCTAAATCGCACAGGGAGCCAGTGGAGGGACGCTAAAACAGGGGTGAGGGGTGAGGGGTTATGTTGATGCTTGTGTTGACGGTTATGTTGATGGTTATGTTGATGCTTGTGTTGATGGTTATGTTGATGGTTATGTTGATGCTTGTGTTGATGCTTGTGTTGACGGTTGCGTTGACGGTTGCGTTGACGGTTGCGTTGATGGTTGCGTTGATGGTTGTGTTGACGGTTGCGTTGATGGTTGTGTTGATGGTTGTGTCCCATGTCTCTGCCCTCTCAGACCAGTCCTCTGTCCTCATCTCTTATATCCTCTTAAACCTTAGGACGCGTTTTAGTTTCTCGCCGGTGGAATGCGTTTGTATCTTTATGAGCTGCTCGTGCTAAATGATTTGGTTAGCATGCGACAGTGATGCGGCTCTTAAAGATGTCCCGGGGCAGATAGCGTCTGGCCTCGTGTTTGAAGCCCTCGCAAGAACGCCAAACACGACAGAGACTTTTACAGCGGGACGCACACAGACGCAAAGGTCATCGCTCATAAATGTGGATTTATGTACGCCGCGTATGATCAACCGAAAGTCACATCTGATACGCTTTAGGAGAGCAGATAAGTGGACGCTAAAGTTGTTTTGTTTCTGGCATGGTTTGGTTTAGAATGAGTGAATGAATAACAACAAAAGAAAAGAGAAGACTGTAGAAAGCTTGACACCTGTGCCTTAGATGATGTCTGATATGTTCAATGTTTGATTGAATTGTAATCAAACCAAATCCAAAACATACAGTATGAACCAACTTAATGTGGCAGATTCATTTGCCAAGAAATTTGATCCTGATCACAGCCTGTCCTCCAAATATGAAGGAGAACATGGTTTTATCTATTATTATCATCTTTTCGTTCATTCCAAGCTGCTTAGGGAGTCAGTCTGCTTGGAGAAGTATGGTAACTTGAGCACTATCCTCTCCTTCTTCCTACTTTATCCGTCTGCATTATGACTTCAGCTGTAGTCTGCTCATTGCTATTCACCCATTGTCCAATCTGTCTGTTTCATGGCTAGATGACTCCTGAACCCGGCCCCTCCATCTACACCTGCGGACTGCCCTTCCCGTCCTGCTTCAGTCCCGCACCTGTCCCGCACCTGTCCTTGTTCTACAATTGTGGCGTGGCCCTGTTCCACGTTCTGTAGCTTAGGTCCTGGATCTACAACCTCAGTCCTCGTTCTACAGTCTGAGTCCTGGATCTACAGCCTCAGTCCTCGTTCTACAGTCTGAGTCCTGGATCTACAGCCTCAGTCCTCGTTCTACAGTCTGAGTCCTGGATCTACAGCCTCAGTCCTCGTTCTACAGTCTGAGTCCTGGATCTACAGCCTCAGTCCTCGTTCTACAGTCTGAGTCCTGGATCTACAGCCTCAGTCCTCGTTCTTTTCCCACTGGGTTTTAGAGTTGTTCCTTGCAGATGGAGGAGGGTCTGTTGGACCCTTGTGAGGATCTAACTAAAAGGACAGACGTGATACACAACATTTATGGACCAAAGACTCAATGTGTTTATGTTCTCAATGAATTTCTTGTATTTGAACTGTTAGATTCTATGATCTGTGATGGTGAATTCAATGTTTTTTTCAAGTCCTCAGAGATAACTACTGTTGTGAACTATACAAGAACAAATTTAATTGAATTGAATAGTTCTGTATTATGGTTTGTATTTGGTTGATCCTAAAAGGGATTCCAATAGAGGTTTTGCACCACCGTGTGACCTACATAGCAACCGTCACTAAGCCGCCATGTTAGATGGCAGGTATGAAACTTTATACAGTCAGATTCAACACCGTGGCCGAGAGCGCACCTTTACTTAGGCTGATGGGAAACTTGCTGCGTCTTTAATTGTGGAAAAAGCTAAAAGAGACAAAGATGTCTATTTTTTCAAAATACCAAGGAAAATAAGGAAAATAAACTATTGAAAAAACTATTGAAAAAACGACGGCAGCAATGGTTAGCAAGCTAGCATTTGTGACGATGCAGTTCAAAACGGGGAAATCAAAGTGTTTGTCTGTTCTTGTCATTTTCACCTAAGTTAGTTGTTCTAATAAAAACATTGCGTTGGAGTAAAAAGTCTGTCAGTGACGTGCGGTTGGTGACTGAGGCACTGACTTCATCACAATCAGATTTAACGCTACATATCAACAGGACATACAGAGGGTTATTCACACATGGTCCGCATTGTTTGCTCAAACAAAACGCCAAAGTAAACAGCACATTTAAAAGTGTGTTATGGTCTTACCTTTATATGAACTCGACACACCACTTCATTCAGTTCAGACCAGTTTCATGTTTAAGTCCAGATAAAAGTTTAGTATGGATTATGTAATCCTCCGTTTACAATGTAGATTATGTAATCCTCCATTTGGAAATAAGATTAAAAATGTAAAAAGAACAAATATGGGTGTCCCTCTTGTTTTGCTAGCTCCATGCTGCAGCCCCGACTTTCAGGTGCGTCCGATTTGTTAAATTTACTTTCTTATCATTTTACTTCCCGTCCGTATCATTCCTATCTCATTGGAAGCATATAATTGGTATAAGTGGCTTTTACATATTTTCTAATCTTGATGGCGAATTACGGCCGGTATTTTGAAAAAATCGACATCTTTGTCTCGCTCTGAGCGTTTACCACAATTAAAGACGCAGCAAAACTTTCCCATCAGTCTAAGTCAGATCCACTGTGTTGAATCTGACTGTATAAAGTTTCATACCTGCCATCTAACATGGCGGCTTAGTGACGGTTGCTATGTAGGTCACATGGTGGTGCAAAACCTCTATCTATACAATCATCAGTTTTCACATTCACTGTCATTACATTTTTTGTCACATGATGAGCAGAAATAGGAGCAGAAAGATGAGCAGAAATAGGACGACCTCTCAGAAAATTAAGTCTCAGCCCAAAGCGTCAAATAGTGAGTCCCAAGGCTCTGTCTGTTTCACTCAGGCACCTGATTCACATGTTTTCTAATTGATAAAAATGGCATGTTGTGGTTTGAACAGCTGGGTTTGCTTGTGCTGGGACGAAATACCAAGATTATAGAGATTCTTCAGTTTCCAATAACCACCGTATCCATCATTCTTTTTATCTTTAAATCTACCATTCCAACCTTCACAAACTTCTGGAAACCCATTGTTCCTCCTGCTTCTGAAAGAACAGAGCCAAATTCAGTGATGTACAAACCAGTGTCTGCTGATTTCTCTAACCCCACATTTCACAATCACCCGTTGTTCTGTTTTCTATTGCCTTCGACTCTTCAGAACACAGACACCTGATTGAACTTTGGAAACCGTCGTGTTTACGTTGGTTCTGGTCCAAGCTTTTCACAGATGCAGACGTGACTTGTAATCAGCGGCTGGGACTCGGTCTGATCCATCATCTATCTTTAGCACTTTCACGTCACAATTAGAGGCTTCCATCACAGATTAGACACGGCAATAACCCTCCTCCCACTCCCCACTCCCTCAGGGCTGCTTATCTAAAGGGCTTTTCTTATCGGGCAGTCGTTTGGGGGGTCCGCTTCATCATATTGCTGTATTTTGTCTGTGTTTTTTTGCGGGACAGAGTTCTGAGCGTTTGGACGGGACAGAGGTATGCTTTTATCCTGCAGGTGGTGGCTCTGATTTGTTTGAAACCAGACTTTCAACAAGTTGGGATGAGGACAATGGCGCTTATGTCATTGTCACTTTGCTTGTTTTAAATAAAGAAGTCCACGGTCTGTTGCGATGAATGATGCATGATGCTATGTTAAACTGTTTGTAACACGGCGCTTGTTCCATAACCAATGCGATCACCTCTGACGCAGGCTGCAATGTCAAAATGGATCTAGATCTTAGGTTTTTTGTCGGTGTTCCCTTGACGATGCTGGAGGGACTACGGTGATGATCCAGGACACTCGACATTCAACCACATCTCTAGACTTTATCAATATTTACAGACATGTATAGCCCCTTATGGACCAATGGCTCTATGTACGTAAGGGGGGTGTCAAACTTATTTTGGTCGTGGGTCAAATAAAATAGTTTGAGCCAGAAAAGTCAAAGTGGAATAAAAGTAGTTTTACATTTTAAATTAACTGTATTTAACATGACTTTGACAATTATTTTAGAACAGATACAACTACATGGCTGTAAAATTATGTGTAACATGCCATAGTAGCCCATTACCATCTATGCTACAAGTTCTTACGATTAAGATATTTGTGAAATAATAAAATAATAATGGTGCTTGAGCCTGATTTTGACCTGCCTGCTCTATGGGTTTTTTATCCTTGCATTTCTTGTGTTTGAATTGTTTGATTCTCTGATCTGTGTTATTCAATTCAATTCAATTCAATTCTTTTCTTTACAAAAGCCATATAGGTTATACACTTTTACAATGTAGAGTTGGTTGGTGTTTTGTAAAAAGGGAACTCCCAGGGAGCTGCATTAGCTTAGAGACGGGGCCCCTAAAACAACACATGCAAATTAGCAAATTGACAGTTTTGTACAGTTCCCCCAAGATAACTACTATTGTGACAAAGGGCTAAAAACAAAAATAAATGTAATTGAATCTAACAGTAAATGCAATTAAAGCCGCAAGTGGCAATGACTTCCCTTCCTTTCAATCTGCCCCGTGCCTTAATCCACAACACATATGATACAGCTGCATTTATATTATACAATCTATCTACTAGCTATGATGTCATTAGATTTTATTTTTCAGGGCGACCTACATCAGATTTTTAAAAAGCTTGCATGAAATAAATGGTCTCAATCGAAACGTGCAAGTAGAAATTCAGAAGTATAAGTGTGTTGTTATCGTCCCTAAAGTCCAAAGAATACAACATATGCAACAGTTCATAACTAAATGTATTAGAAATGATCCATTGTATTTGTGAATGAATTTTCAACCGTGTCGAACCAAGATTACGTATTAAAGAAACTATAAGACAGCTTGACCCCCTATTGGTCAACAGTGGAACTTACACCCTCCTTTCGCCCTGTGTTCACAGATTACTACTGTGTTCCGATCCTCTGCACTAGGAGTAGTAATTCAAATTTGGCAAAGACTGAGACTAAATGGCGTTGTCCCTTTGGAAAATCTTGTTTTTAGACAGTCAGAATGAACTCAAATTAAGATAAAAACCAGCTGATTCAGGGATTTATCTCCGCATATTTTATCATTTTTGTTGTGTTGCTGGTGTGTGCGTGGTGTGTGGAGTCAAAATGCGTAAACAGCCTGAACATGTGTCTCACGGAGCACATCTCCAAATGGAAAATAGCAGTTTGT